TGCCTCCCAAGTGCTGGGATTAAAGGCGTGCGCCACCACCGCCCGGCCGGAAAGATTTTTAAAGAAACAAAAAAGCAACAGAAAGAACTCAAGCCGGGCGGTGGTGGCTCACGCCTTTAATCCCAGCGCTTGGGAGGCAGAGGCAGGAGGATTTCTGAGTTCGAGGCCAGCCTGGTCTACAGAGTGAGTTCCAGGACAGCCAGGGCTATACAGAGAAACCCTGTGTCGAAAAACAAAAACAAAACAAAACAAAAAAAGAAGAAGAAGAAGATCTCAAAAGAACACTGCAGCCAAGGAACAGGTCATGAGGCTGCGCGTGAAGCCCAGAAGTTATGTGTTCTTGCGCAGGCTTCAGTTTTGTGAAACCCCGCCCTGCCTCAACTCTGCGCGTGCGCAGAGGATTTGGCGGGACGTTCCAAGGCTTCGCTTGTGCAGATCAGTCTAGAGGCCGAGTTCAGAGGAGATCGACGAGAACCTTTTGACCTCGGCTTTTCTGAGAAAAGATTTCTGAGCGGGAACTCAGGCGTGGCCACTTTTCTGAGGTGCTGGAGGAACCCTAGTCAGTGTGTGAGCGACAAAGTGTGGCTGCCAGAGCCTGGGCGCTTCGAGGCTGAGGTAACTGCCCCGCTGCCCGGTGTCCCCGTGAGACTGGCCTTGAGTGTTTTCTGTCTTTGAGGAGAGTTTCTGGGCCTGGCCCCACTCCCCCACTTGTTGGGATCACTCGTCCCCGAGGTCGCCTTCTTAGGCCTGGCTTGAGGATTGTCCAACACATCCGCTGGATATAAGGCCTTGAAGTGTAGGCTGGGCACTGTTGCAGACTCTGGAGGCTTGAAGAGTGTGGAGAGCTGGCAGTGGCAGGGAATGGCGACCATGAGCACTGGCCAAACACCAAGTCTCAGCCAGCCTCCAGAAGGTAACCAGCTGAGAGATAATGAGAGCTATGTCTAATGGGCTACTGAGGAGTGTTCTTCAACCCTATCATGCCCAGATGGTGCCATGTTTGCCTATGACACCTATCCAGCTTTCTCAGACCCCCCACCCAGTCCTCTATACAGAGCTTCCAGATAGTCAAATAAAGTGTTTATTTGCTGGGTGGTGGTGGCGCACGCCTTTAATCCCAGCATTTGGGAGGCAAAGGCAGGTGGCACCCACACAGAGAAACCCTGTCTCGAAAAACAAAAACAAAAAAAAGTGTTTATTCTGACTTATAAGTACTCCCTAATCCAGGTTTAATAGTACACACACACACACACACACACACACACACACGCGCGCGCGCGCGCGCGGCTTTTCCATTGAAATGTTTCCTGACACATGTTTTTTTTCTCGTTGCTTTTTCTTCTGTTTTGTTTTGCTTTGCATTCTTTGTTGCTTGGTGGTTTTGTTCATTTCTTTATTATTTGTTTTGTTTGTTTTTGGTTTGGAGACTCATAGAATCAGGGTCTCATGTAGCCCAGGCTGGCCTGAAACTCAGCACATAGCTAAGGATATCCTTGAACTTCTGATTCCTGCCTCCATCCCCCTGAGTGGTAGGATCATACTGACATGTTTTCTGGGGCTGGAGAGGTGGCCCAGAGATTGAGAGCACAGGTGTCTCTCTTAGAGGAGCCAGGTTTGGTTCCCAGCACCCATATAGAGGTCAACAGCTATCAGTAACTTCAGTTCCAGGGGATCTGATGTACTCTTCTGGTCTCTGTGGTCACCAGGTTTAATGTGGTGTACAGAAATCTATAGAAGCAAAACACCAATATACACAAAATACTAACAGCAAAAACAATTATATTTAAAGGGAAAAGTGCAAAGAAATTGCTTTCCAAGACTCCCTGTTTTCCCCAGGAAGGGCATGAATATGTCTTCAGTTAGGTGTTCAGGTAACTGGATATCTCTCTGTTTGCTTTTTTTTTTCATTTCTTTTTTTCTTTCTTCTTCTTCTTTTTGTTTGTTTGTTTGTTTGTTTTTGTTTTTGAGACAGGGTTTCTCTGTGTAGTCCTGGCTGTCCTGGAACTCACTCTGCAGACCAGGCTGGCCTTGAACTCAGAAATCCACCTGCTTCTGCCTCCCAAGTGCTGGGATTAAAGGCGTGTGCCACCACCGCCTGGCTCTTTTTTTCATTTTCACTTGTATGGTGTGTGTGTGTATTGATGTTGGAATTGGCCTCCATTACTCTTCTACCTCATCACTTGAGGTGATGCCTCTCAGTCAAACCCAGAGCTTGTCAGTACAATCAGTCTTGCTATGGAGATCCCCATCTCTGCCTTCTGAGACGGGGATTCCTGGCCACCAGACATTTACATGAGTGCTGGAGACCCTGAGGGTCCTCACACTTGCATAGCAAAGGCTTTAATCCCTGAGCTATCTTGTCTGTTCTCTTTCCTTTTTTGAAACAGGGTCTGATTCTTGAGCCCAAGCAGTCTTCAAACTTAGAACAGTTCTCCTTCTTCATCCTCCTGAGGGTTAGGATTTCAGGTGTGAGCCATAATGCATAGCCACAGGTGTCATCTTTGACTGTTCCCTTTCCTTCACCTGGTCGACACCCAATCATGAGTAGGCATCTTTCAGGTCCCTCTACATTGCAGTTCTACTTTTATCACTAAAGACCATCTGATTGTTAGCTTCTATCTGGAACAAGAGTCTACTTAATGTGGTCCTGTTCATCTTATCTTGTTTCAAGTTGTCTTCATTACTGTTCTGTTGCTGTGAAGAGACACCATGACTAAGGCAACTCTTATAAAAGAAAGCATTTATTTGGGGCTGGTGTACAGTTTCAGAAGGTTAGTCCATTATTATAGTGGCAAGCAGGCATGATGCTAGAGACAGCTGAGAGCTATATCCTGGTCTACAGGTAGTGGGCTGAGAGACACACAGGGCCTGACACCTCAAAGCCCATCCCTAACAACACACTCCAAGGCTACACCTACTCCAATAAATTCACATCTGCTAATCCTTCTTATCCTTCTCAAACTGTTTGCCAACTGGGGACCAAACATTCAAACATGAGCCTATAGAGACCATTCTCATCCAAACCACCACACAGCTGTTTCCTACATTACAACCAGTAAACTGGACAGCTGTAATCCTAGAAATTGAAAGGTACAGCCAAGAGAATCAGGAATTTAAGATTATCCTTAGGTACAATTAAAGGCCTGCCTGGGCTACTTGAAAACCTATGTCAAAATAGCAAAGTGCCGGGCAGTGGTGTCGCACGCCTTTAATCCCAGCACTTGGGAGGCAGAGGGAGGCGGATTTCTGAGTTTGAGGCCAGCCTGGTCTACAGAGTGAGTTCCAGGACAGCCAGGGCTACACAGAGAAACCCTGTCTCCAAAAACAAAAACAAACAACAACAAAAAAATTCCTAAAGCCAGTGAGATGGTTCCATGGGTAAAGGTACCTGCTGTCAAGCCTGACGCTGAGTTCCACCTAGGGGTCTCGCTTAGCAGAAATAACCTCTGACCTCCTGGGTGTGCTGTAGCATATTTGTACCTAAAAAATGAAAATAAGAAATTCTGAGATTAGAGGTGTGTGCCCCTACATACAGCTGCTGGCCTAGGTTTTTTTTCTTTTTTCTTTCTTTCTTTCTTTCTTTCTTTCTTTCTTTCTTTCTTTCTTTCTTTCTT